TAAGCTGTAGATGGAATTGGGGGGGGGGGGATTTATTTATACCTTTCTGCCTTGTTCAATTTCCTCAGAATGTTATTCAACAAATAACTGCAGCACACATACCAAGTGCCAGACACGGTCAGGTGCTTGAGACACAAAATGAGCAAGGCAGGCCCCTGCTCCCGGGAGCTTACATTCAAGCACATTATCTTTGTCAGCAGGGAAAAAAAAAGTACAAATTAACTTCTCCTAACCGTGTGTTCCTACACAATTTAACCATTCAGGTCTCAAGTAAGGCTCTATAAGAGGCCTTGTCTGATCACTCCATGAAATGGGGTCCTCCCCTCCTTCTTATCCCAGACAATTCATCTCCATCACCCCCAAGCCACAGTAAGTAGAATCTCAGGCCAGGGAGTGTCTGCTCTGTTCACCACTGGCTCCTCAAGGCCTGCAAAGGTAGCTGGTACCTCACAGGTGTGTCATGGCTACATCTGAATGAATGAGTGGATGAGTGAATGAATGAACTGAGGCATTTGGCTTGACATTTATCGTGGGGTATATCTGTAATACTCTTATTGCACACAACATACTACAATATATATGTAAAGGTGCAGTTCTAGTGCTCCCTCACTTGTCATATGTTAAATATGAGCATTTCATCTTTACTCACTAAACATTTTAGAGCAAATTATTGGTGGGGAGAGGAGCACCACCTGATTGCATATTCATCCAACATCTCCCTCGTGTTCCAGGAATGAGGAGAGCAGGGGCCTACTCTGGGCTTGCACTTCAGTTTTGAAGGAGGAGGCCACACAGCAGAGCAGTGGGAGGAGACCACACAACATTACACTGTGTCCCAGCATCAGTGAGACCCATCTCAGACCTACATCGAGTACCCAGTGCAGGAAGGAGGCACCCAGGATGCACAACTCAGGTGACAGAGACATGGAACAGGGCAGGGATTGCACCATCTTGGTCTGTCTAGGCTCGTAGCCTCTCTGAGGTAGGCTCCCACCTGCACTAGGTCCTTTTGAGGAGGATGCTAGGCCAACAGTCCTATATGCTCTGGTAGAAGAACAGCAAGGGTTGGAGGCCAAACCCCTCCTCAGATGAGCCAAGTGACCTGGGTCACTACTTCATGCCTCAATTTGTCACTGGAAAAGAATCACCATGATGCTCCCTTGCCAGGGCACTGTGTTTGAGGATCAATGTGATAAAGGCAGAGGGCACCTGCAGAATCTTCCTACAGATGTTCAGGGGAACTGGGACCTGGGGCACAGCCCGAGGCTGGAGAAGTAGCCTGCATTTTGCTTTGGGTAGTGCACTTGTCCCTGACCTGCGGCAGAAGGTCTTTGGGTCAATAAGAGGCTGTCTCCACACCAGGGGGATGCATATTAGGCTCCACTTCCCCCAGACCACCCCACTTCCCACAGAGCAGGCAGCCAAGAGCTGTCATCAATGAGGAGGTGGGCTACCCCTGTGCTACAAAGAAGCTACCACCACATGGCGCCTGAAGACTGAAAAGTGGCTGGACCTACAGGAGATCCCAAACACCATTACGTCCCCTGCCACCCAGCCTGCTCAACATCCTGCGCCCTCCTGGATGATAAACATCCTGGACCAGCGATTGGCCCCTGCAGTGCCCTTAGACACTGGTTCAAAACTGACAATTCAGTGCTACATCCCAAGCCACCCTGTGACTCTCTCAAGACTCAACTGCTTCCTGGTCCAACATAAAGACATGAACCATCCCCTCCAGTGACTTTAGGGACAAGAAGAATGCTTGTCCACTGGCCTTGTGGTTGTCTATGCTCACACACAACTTCATAAACAACACACGTGGTCCATCCCACACTATCCCCCCATCGGACCTATACTTTGGTGGCTATGGAGGGTGAGGAACATCACCACCAGGAGTTAAGACCTAGGTCTTGGGTCTCAGGTCCAGATTAGCCAGGGCTAATCAGGCAGCATCCTCTCAGCTGAAGCTCAGAAGGTGAAGCACACAGGATGCTGAACAGCCACTCAGAGCAGCAGACTCTACTCCCTGCTGCCCAGTTCCAGGGCCTCCTTAGGGCCCTTTCCCTAGCCCCTCAACTTCCAACCTGCTCCTTAACTGATTCACTGCCCATTCTGTCCCCGACTTCCTCCCAGACTTCTGGGCCCTCCTGGCTTGGAACAGTGCTCTACCTCTATCCCAGCATGTCCACTCTTCTCCTGGACCATTCCTTCCTTCATGATGGGGCCCTTGAAAAAAGGGCTTGCCCAGAGGCTTCATCAGGGTACTAATGCAGTCACAAAGCTGCACACCAAGTATCAAGTACATGATGGATTTGATGAAAAAAGAACAAAATGGCCAAAGAACAAAATGCACTTCCAGGTTCCAAGTGTCCTGGGGTCTCACCACACTCAACAGGCTGCTTCCTCTGACCCCACTGAAAAGCTACCACACGCTTCCTTCCCTAGACACCTATGGGTTTGAAAGGAAACTCAGTGGGTCAGAAAAGCCACAGGTGGAAGCCACACAGAAACCCTTCTCACATTGTGTTCTGTTTGCTTCTGGGTTCCACATTTTCAAAAGGCTACAAACAAGCAGCCACATCCAAAACTTCTAGACTCTCAATCCTTGGGAGGCAGTCATCAATAAATACATTAAGTTTCTGAAATTAATGAAACGAACACCATGGCCTGAAGGCCATCAGCCACCATGGCTCCTTGGTAGACAAGAGAACCTACATTTGACAGTCTGTCCTGTCCTCCAACCCCTAACAGGACAAATAATTTGGAGCAAGTGTAACCTCTCTCAGACTCAGAAGGCAAGAAGGGAGTTTTTGAGATGTGAGATGGGGGTACACACATAAGAACTCTACAGCCAGGCCAGGGTGATTGCAGGTCCCCAAGAGCTGGCCCATATTCCACACACTCTCGCCTCTCCATCAGTGCTCAGCCCATCGCTTTCCCAACAAACTTTCTCCTCAGGCCTCCTTTGTGCTGAGTGCGGATCCCGGCAGGTGGTACTGCAGGAGAATGACCTGAAGAGCTCAGATTGCCATGACATAACACCACAGACTAGGCAGCTTCAACAGACGTGTACTCCTCACAGCTCTGGAGGCTGGGAGAATGAGATCAGTACCGTACCCCGGTCAGTTCAGTATCTGGTGAGGACCTGCTTCCTGGTTCACAGGTCTCTGTCTTTTCACTGTGTCCTTACATGGTAGAAGGGGAGAGGAAGCTCTCTGGGGCTTTCTTCACAAGGGCACCAATCCAATTCCTAAGGGTCAAGTCCTCATGACCTAACTACTTCCCCACAGTCCTACCCCCTAAGACCATCACCTTGTAGAGTAGGATTTCAACACAGGAACTGGAGGGAGAGGGTTAGCAGTGGTGGTTGGGGGGGGTGTGGGGAGGGGGGAGTTCCCTCATTCACACAATAGCAGTTCAGATTGGCTCCTGTGTTGGAAGCCTGCACACCTCCCATCATGGGGAAGACTCTGGTATTATTGGAGCTGACTGAGTCTGTAGGTCTGACACTTGGGAGAGAGGACAGAGCCTGGACAGGCAGACAGGATAGGTAGATCACCATGGATATGATGTGAGTCTCTGCATTTTTAAGAGGACTGGCCATGTTCTCTGGGACCAACCATGATCAAGTTCAGGACCAAACACTGGAAAATCCTAGATCCAGTTCCTCAGAACTGACAATGAAAATACAAACAATATTTTCTGCTGTCTCATGCATTCTCTACAGTGATCACATTTTACAAAAAAAGATTCTAAAAAAAGATCCTAAAAGATTCATATTCAGTTATTTTGTTTATAAAAGCAGCCCAGTGTCCCCTCCAGACTCTACCGCAGGGCCCACGGGCTCCTTGTGTGTTAATTACCTGTCTCCTCCTGATAGAATATAAAGGTGGGAAGCCAGAGGCCTCTGTCTCTTCAAAATGACATTCCCAGCCTCTGACACAGACCACTCCCAGAAGAGGTGCTTGATAAACATGTGCTCAATAAAAGACTGAAGGATCTGTAACTTCTCCCAGATCCAGAAGCATCTGAACTTATCCACTTCTTCCCCGAGCCTAGCCCCACTTTCCATCCAGACCCAGAGCAGCCCTTTCATGTGGCCTCGCTTTCTGTGGGCCTGAGTCCAGTCCTCACAATGTAATCACTACGAGACCCTCTTGAAAAGCACACCTCATTTTGCTGCCAGCCTCCAAAGGCCTCCACCCGGTATGATACAGGGATCCAAGTACAGGCAGAAAGCCCCGGTCCTGGCCCAGCAGGGAGCCAGGATGTGAAAAAAGACTCCTGAGGAGGGCCTGAACCTTGCTTGCCAAGGGATGTTGACATCGGCTGACTGAAACAGAAATGGGAAGCCCCATCACAATCAGTACTGTTAGGATGGGCCCAATGACAGCACTGTCTGCACTCCACCCAAACCGAAGTAGGAGGAACTACTTATCGCAAACATAAGAAATCTACAGGAGTATGCTCTTAGTAGTTCTTACCTGGTAAAACTCCCGAAGCCAGTTCTTCTGCAGGTTTTCTGGCTGTAAATTAAGAAAAAAGAAAACACTGTCAGACTACCAACAGAGCCCCAAATAGCTGCAAGCAGAAGTTTCTACAAAGAAATCCATGGGATAGCCTCACAGTGGAGGGCTGAAGCATGTGCACAGGAGGGCCCCACTCTGCATGGGGGAAGCCTACTCCACATGAGGGACCCTGCTTCCCACAAGGGAACCCCTAGAGTACAAGAAATTCCTCATGTCCATGAGGGAACCTGGATCTCCAGGAGGGAGCTTAAACTCTGCACAGGGGGACCACACTCCACAGGTTGTCCCAGTGACATGAAATGAGTACTGGCACATCCACACCCAACACCCAGTCCTATGCCATCTCCTGTAGTGAGTCATAGGGAAAGGGGTGGTATCACATTTCTGCTCCAAGCCCCTGGATGCCTCCCCGGGAATAGGCAGCACAGAAAGTGACCAGTCTCCAACAAGCAAGACGATGGCATGTTTTCATCCCTGTCTCTGCCTGGGCCAAAGCTGCTTCATAGGAAACTGGACTCAGTGGTGCTAGATGGAGCATGAAACAGCCATAGGCACACAGAGCGTGTCTCTGTATGTTGGGGCAGGGAGGACAAAGGGAGGGAGGAGCTTTTATAGTTGGTTATACAGTCAGAATCCTCAGGAAACACTTGGTAGAGACATGGATAGAAACCCCCATCCTCATGCCACCTGCACACACATGTGCATACAAACACGTGCTCACACATGTATGCACACAGAGAAGGCCCTGGCCCTGGGAGCTCCTAGACAGGATCAGAGGAGGCAAGTCCAGACACTTAAGAAGGAAGGGACAAGTTGAGGCCTTGTTCCCCTAAGCAGATGGACCTGCTGATCCACACGCCATGCGACTAACCCCTTGGCTCTGTGCCAGCTCCAGCTCAGAGAGGCGCAGCCCAATCAAACCAAGGAGGGCAAGAGCACTTGAGACAAGGTATGGAGAGCACTCAGCCTGATGTGCACTTGAGATACAGGTGCTCAGGAAGTGCTATGGTTAAAACAAGGTCCACCACCGGGGGAATCAGCACTTAAGGGGCTTCAATGCTGCAAGATCTACTGAACAACAATGTGACTATGGTCAGTACTACTGAACGGTATATTTAAAAATGGCTAATGGTAGATTTAATGTTAGATGCTTGTTTTAAACCACAATTAAGAAAAAAAGAAAACAAGTCCTCTCCTAATATTTTGGGCATAATGTTCATGCCGTGGTCTCAGCTCTTGATTTGAGCAGAACTCTGAGTACCCACATCAAAGGAGTCCAGGCTGACCAGTCACAGCTGGGCCCAAACATGGCACCCACAATCCAAAACATAACAGCATCACAAGGTCACAAGGCTGGTCACACAGCAGAGGTGCTTTTTTCATTCTGTCATTGATGTTTCTAACTGTCCTGAAAGCAGGAAGATTGAATTCAGATAAATTTTAAAAAGGGAAAAAAAAAAAAAACCTGGCCAAGGAACCAGAACTTTACAGACTGCTTCACAGACCACGGAAGGAGAGAGCCCAGGACACTGAGTGGGCAGACAGAACCAGCACAGCCCCACTTGCCTCAGCAGGTCTCCCAGGTCTCACTTCCCCTACATTGGCGGTGTGCACCCCACCTCTCCTCCATCCTTACAAAGATGAGTAGCAGGAGAGAGCATCGCAACAAGACAAATGAAAAGCTGGGCAAGGATTTCAATGGAAGAACCAATCCACACAAGAAAAGATGCTCATCATCACTGACCATCAAGGAAATACAAATCCCAAACCACAATGAGATGACAAACTCACTTGGACAGCTGAAATCAAAAAGAGAGATGATCACAGTGCTGGGGAGGACATGGGAAAACAGGAACCCTCCTACACTGCTGTGGACACAGCCTGCCAGTTCCTTAAAATGTTAAACCTGGAGTTACCATTTGAGCCAGCAACTCTACTCCTAGGTACATATCCCAAGAGAACTGAAAACACATGTCCACTGTTGTACATGAATGTTGACAGCAGCACTAATGCATATTAGCCAAATGTCCATAAACTGATGAACAGAGAAACAAAATGTGGAATACCCATATATAGAAATATTTTCCAGCAGTTCTGGCCCATGAGTTTTGCTGCTCTTCCAGGCTCAGGTGGTTCACGCCCCCTCACCTGCCAATCCCATTGTGGGAATTCCATTGTCTAGGCTTGAACCTTGACAATAAATTGAGCAGGGACCTCAGGTACCCACAGCACCCAGATGATCAATACAAAGTCAACCTTGATCCAAATATGAGGCCCCCACAGACATGCACCAATAAGAAGCAGAGTTGGTGGGAGAAGCAGCCCCCGCCCTGACCCTGAAGTATCCATGAAAGATGAGGGATGCACATTCATGTGGAAAGAATGTGGAAGACAGCCCAGTACACACAGTATACGTATACAGACTCTCAGTGCAAGTGCACATCACACGGCTTTCAACACAAAGTGGACCAAGATTCAGCTGTGACCACTATCTCAGGGCAACCAGGACAGCAGCTCTCCCCACTCCTCTATGGAGTCACCAAACTCAAGTCCATAGAGCTCTAATACAATCACCTCTGGGTCCCCAGAGGGCAGCCCCCTAAATGCTCTAAATGCCACCAGATGCTCTAAATGCCACCAGAGGTTCAATGTGAAAGCAAACCCTGGGAAGTGTTGTTAGAGTTTGGAAGGGGTTTCAGGACTCTAGTTCTTTCAGTCTAATTCCTGAATCAGTATCTTATTTAAAAATGATTAGGGTGACTTTAATTTCACTTTGAATATGGATCTACTGCAATAATAAACTCAGACAGTCCTAACACAGTGCTTTAAACAAAGACATATCCATATTTGTTTACTATTTATAAAGAGGCCATTCAAAGGCTTTGAAATAATTAAACAGCAAACCTAAATACATAATTGAAAGACCAAAAATACTCTGAGAAAGGAAAAGAAGAAAAAGAATGAGATTTTTAAGAGAAAAAGTCTCTTTTATGTGGCATCCCACTCCCACCCCACCTGCTTGTCAGGGTCACTGTGACTGCTACAATGACCACCATGAGGCCCCATCCAGGAGCCATTTCCTGATTGGCATTTCACCGACATGTAGGCTACGTCAGTTTGGTTGACCACAGGCTTCTCTGGAAACCACCAAAGCTTCTCTGGAAACCACCATGGCCCCTCCCGGGTCCCACCTCATTGGCCTCCCTCTCGGTTCTCTCTGTTGCTGGGTCTTTCTTTCCCTGACTACATGTGGGATGTCCCCTGCAGAGTCCACAGACCTCTCCCATTTCTAATCCAAGACTCTCCCTCTGCGACCTCCCCTCACCTCCTGAGAACCCTTCACAAGCTGTAGACTCCCTAAGTGGTGCCTCTAGTGGGAACAGTGCCACGACCTCCAGATGCCAAGCTGACTATAGACAGCCCCAGGTAAACTTCTCATGGCCCCTCACACCCCACCACCTCAACACAGAGCTCCTCATGTGGTCCTATTCCCCCACTCTCTCCACACACACATATACTGTACACACTGCCTCACACATTCTCCCACAAGTACTCACACACATACATGCTCACTCTCACAGGCACTCACAGTCTCTCTCTCTCTCTCTCTCTCTCACACACACACACACACACACACACACACCTACCTGCTCCTCTTCTAGCAGCTCCCCATCCCTGCAATGGCAATGCCATTCCCCCACCTGCAGAGGCTGAAACATGTTAACCTGTCTCTCACCTCACATCCAACCCATCAGGATAACCTTTTGCCTCTACCATCAAAGTACATGTAGACTTTGATGGTAGAGGCACATCCTCTATCATCACCATGCCCCACCCCTGCCACTCTGGTCTAAGCTCTCTTCCCCTCTTCCTCCTAACTGATCTCCATGCTTTTTATTTTTTTGCCCTTTTCTAGTCTAGTCTCTACACTATATAGCCATAGCAGTTCTCAGAAAACACAAATCAGATGACCCTCCAATGCCTCCTACCTCTCTTGTGATAAAACACAAAGGTCTTCCAGATCTTCACAGCCAACCAAAGCCAGAGTTCCTGACCCCCCTGCCTTCCCTCTCCTCCCACTTGCTTTGCTTTGGATCACTGACCTACTTTCCATTCTCTTCCCTCAGGGCTTTTCCTCATTCTCTTTTCAGATTCTCAATAGTCTTTGCACCTTGCTGCTCTCTGATCTGGTTAAAAACGTCTTCATCAGTCTTCTTCAGTCAGTTTTCCTTAGGTCACTGAGCCTCCCCAGCTCCAGAAAGTCAATCCCTAATCCCAGCAGTTTTCTATTCTGACAGGTTAAGCCACATCATATTCTTTCCCTGCATTCCCTCTATCATCAGGAATAGAATATCTCATTTTCCAGGTCCTCATACTATAGCGTATAGTGAACAAGTGAGGCTAGTGAGATGAGAGACTGTTTAAGAAAAGCAGTATATTTCAAAGCAGAGTGCTCATTAACATGATCTAAAATTAAAATGTACTTTTAAACTCTAAATCCTTGAGTTTTTAAAGTTTTCTTATTCTTAGAAGACTTTTAGAGATATCATATCTCTTGTACCAATAAACATTTATCTCAAATTCAGAAGTTCCTTCAGTTTCAACTAGGTATCTTTTTCTCCTGATAATTCAAGCAGAATTTAATGTAATCATGTTAGATTAAGGTGACAGACACTGTTATGAAACCCATATTCCTGACTAGAACTTTGAATGGATGATCACCGTGGTCTGGGATGATGACCATCACAAGGCATCAATGATTCTTTTTGGGTTCTGAAATTTGGGGTGATTTGTGCATTTTTTAATATATATTACTTATTCTCTTAAGGAAAGAGAAAAAAAACTTTATAAAATAATTCCATTTTAGAGGGAAATGTTAAAGAATTGAGATTGGGAACCAGCAGTTAGCGTAATGGCTATGTCGCTGGACTCCCACGTAGTCGACCGCAGTTCTTGTCCCAGACCCAGTGGCTTAAAACTCACACCGGGCC